TTAATTTTAAAAATTCATTTGTCACAGAGATTGTGGTCACTGGTGTTATCAGGACTCATATTGCATTTTAACTCAGTATTTTCAGCTCTATTAAACTGCTTCTTTGGGTCGAGGCTCATCAGAGAGGAAGCAGCTCAAGGCAGGACAGGGCGAGTCACACTTGCTCACTATATTTCATTAATGTATTAATAATATTGCTTATCAGGCAGCACATAACTGCTATGTGTCACTGGTGTTATGTGCTTTAATGGATGGGTAATTCAAATTTAGTCAAAATAATGACATACATCATTTTTATTACTGATTTCAAATAGTTGCACAAGGTCACCTGACCAACGATGAGTCAGTGAATTTACAAAATTCCCAGTTTTAACCAGAATGTCACTGAGGTCACAGTCACTGGTGTTACACCATATTCATACAACACCAGTGATGGTAAAATATGTTTGGAAGCTCTCTTAGGTGATCTAAGCTTAGTCCAATTAAAACCCTTCATTGCTCGCTAGCAGCTCAATACAGACTCACACAACTCATAGAGTGATGTGAGTCTGTGACACTTCTCTGGTGGCAGATTTAAACAAGTTAAAGTGGTCAAAGTTTTACACAAAATGTTCTATGTGATAGATCTTGACTCTGCATGTTGTTTAAATCAGACCAGGCCTGGTCACTTTCTACCCTGGTCACTTCATCCAAGCTTGCCTGCTTTTTGAGACATGCTGTTCAGCTTGTCTTGACTGAACACTTTCCTGCACACCCTACCCCCTCTGCCCACGGATGTTTGAAACAACAGGGTGTGAAATTAAGAGGGGCATCGCAAGCCCCTTGGTGCGGAGAAAACACTGGCAGGCTTTTAGTGTGAACGCGCAGATCTCTCAATCCCACTAACGCTGGGGGAATTTGAGAGGACACACATCCAAATGGCTTTAAATGGGAAAAGGATGTTAACTTTGGCACCTTTTCTAGGTCAGTCCGCTACCTGTTATCTCTACCTAATAACCGTGGGGCGGGAAAAGTAATATGTCTTGCTTTCCATCTCCCTGGGTCAACTGGGCCTTGCAGTCCACCATTTCCCTTCTACTGTAAAACTTGGCTGCGCACAAGCTGAGGTCATCAATAATGGCTGAACGGCATTTTGCCAATGAATATTTCATTAACGGAGCTGTTTTGCTTAACTTATTTGCAAAGTGTCATCTCAACTGTCCCTATTACCTCTCAGAAAATGTGAAAAGCCAAATAAGGATAAGGGGGAAGATCAAGGGCATCAAGAGGAATGCTTCACATGCACAAACTGTCCCCTTGAAGTCCAGTTATAGCTGAGTTTAAAAAGGCCATGGAGCTTCACCAGGCGTGCTCTCTTTAATCATTATCTGTATGGCTAAAACCATTGTAGTGAAGAATGAATTATTTTATGTAGTTAATCGCAATTAATCACTCAAGTTTGCACCAAAAGTAAGTTTTTCCCCATTTAAAAAGCACTGCATTATGTTATAGCTATATAAATTGGACACAAAAGGCTTAATTCAGTAATATTATTGTAATTATGTGAACACACCTTTCAGTTTTTCCAAGAAATCTGCAGGGAATATTTTTTCCAAAGTTCAGTCTTAGAAGTTGGCTGCATTTTCTGCTTCTCTTAATACAGTTCATAGATTCTTGTTGCTTTTGTTAGTTTGCTGCTCTTTGATTTATCCATAGGTCTCCAGTGAGAAATGTCCAGCATAGTCCACTGAAAGTGCTGAAGGTCTCACTTTGAAAGCCATTTAAAAGCTGTGTTTTAATGAGATGGCTGCAAACATGGATTGTATCATAGCAACGTGCAGGGCATGGTCTCACTTTACTGGGATAGTCCACTATAGTACCCTATAGATTATCTACAGACGTTCAAGTAGTTAACAAACTATCTATAACTCAGTTGATTCTAAACAGTGGTGGGGTTATAGTAAATATTTGGACCAGGGTGAGGGTTGGGTTAGGTTTTGGGTTGAGGTTAAGGTTAGAGTTAGGATTAGAACGAGGTTTAGATTTATGACTTATGGTCGAAGATATTTAGTTGGATGTAACTTGAAAGTAATTTTAAGGGTTAAACTAGGAAAATGTGTTAACAGCTTAAAAAATCAGTGGCATTAACACATTTTTCATGCATTAACATGTTAATATTGACATCCCTCCCATGACATGTTCTATTTGTGTCACACTGGCTTTATTGCTTCTTTTTATGTGTATTACAGCACAATCCTGATGTTAGCTCATGTGAAGTGTACATGCAATTGTACAACAAACATCCTCTATATAATCTTGTAGTAAATATATGTATGTAAATATATGTAAATTTCTAGTCAGAAGGGATGCCTTATATTGATTCTGACTCTTCTCTTCTCCATGCTCCTTAAAAGAGGCTTTAAAAATAGCTATTTGCGTCTATTAGGGTGAGTCGAGATTGCGTAAGAGCTGGCAGAGCCCTCTTTCCAATAAACTCTGACGCAAGGCAGAAAAGGGCAGAGCGAAACGTAGGCAAGATTGAGATCCAGAAGAGCTGCTGCTAGGAGGTGGTATAGGGTCAGGGTGGTTTAGGATGAGCTGCAACTGACTTGTAGTGGCCAAGAAACCCTTTTCACACTTCCAGATTTGAAGCAGTAAAAGTCATCGTAGTAGAGAAAACATTACAGCCGTGGTAGAATTTAGGAACGAGAATATAAAGGACTAGTTTTTCTCCAAGAAATATTTAGCTCATTTGGAGCAGGTTTTCAGAGAGGAGCACAAGAGGAGAGAAGCAAGCTTGACAAGGGCTACAAGCTTTTCTTTGGGAATTACAAATGTTAGACTAGCTCTGTATGCCCAACCTCCTGCCCACACAACACAGAACAGCTGCAAACACAGCGAATGCAAAAAAACAGCAAAAGACACACTGAAAAGAAATTTCAAATGGTGACCGTACGACTGCTCATCCCTTTAGAGTGAGACTCAGCCAGACATTTTAACGTCCAGTTAGAGGTACCAACCAAGCATAAGAAAAAGGAACTCAAAACCAGATTATCTGGACATCCGGAAAGGTTAGTTAGGCATAGGTAGGTGTCACAGAAGTACATCTTAGATGTAGAAGCTTGTTCTAGGTTTATAACAAAGTAAATAAAGCTACTGGATATTAAACTAGCCAGGAAGCTAACAAACCAGGCCACAGCTTTAGTCTTTTAGGCCTCTTAAAATCCCAGGCTTAGTGCATACTAAGGCACAGCACACTGTTAAAAAGCAAATCTGGGCCTTGCCATGGCAAAAGGGCTCGCGTGGTCTAGGGATCTTCAGAGCTAAGTCATCTGGAGCAATATGCTCCTGGCAGGCTCTCCCAAGGTGAACAGGTCTGGAGTGAAGACCCAGACTAACTTGATCCAAAAACCCCAGTACCCTCCATGTTAAAGTTACGCAGAAAACCGCATACCCTGCCCGGGAGAGGGTTACTGGGACCTACCCCTGGAGCCAGGCCTGAGGTTAGTGTTCCCTGGCGTGCGCCTGGTGTCTGGGCAGCCCACGTTACCCAGCCGGGCTCAGCCCAAAAAGGCAACGTGGGGGGACCATGTGGACCCACTACCTGCAAGGTCTAGCATGGGGGACTGGTGCAGTGCTGTATAGGCAGTGGGAGATGGCAGGGAGGCCCTTGGTGGCATAGACCCCTGCGGCAGAAACTGGCTCTTACGTACGTGGAATGTAACCTCAATGGGAGTGAAGGAGCCAGAGCTTGTGCGGGAGGTTGAGGGGTACCAACTAGATATATTTGGGCTCACCTCCACCCACAGTGTCAGCGCTGGAACTCCTTGATAGGGGTTGGTCTCTCCAGGAGTTGCACAGGGTGGAACCAAAGTCTGAATGTGTTCAATGCAAATTATAAGGGCAACAGTTCATCCCCCTACAAATATTGAAGAGAACACGTCCCCCTGCCCCCCATACAAACATCTTCACCTATAATACAACAAAAACGTCTGTTGACTTACCTCCCAACAGGCACAACAGTTACTATATTCTAGTAAACAACATCCGCTCACTTTCTTGGGTAACTTGTCATGGGATCCCTACTTTGTAGCCCTGTAGGTAATTCTGGAAAATAAGCTTGTAGACCTTGTCAAAGTTCCTCATCTCTGAAGATGTAAACTGCTCCACCAAGTGAACAATGTCTTCTATTAAAAAATAAGATAAATACTTTAATGAGGACTTAACATTATGTGAGTCCTTTTACATTCTCGTTTAAAATGTTGCCAATGCTGTAATGTTTTACCTACTATTATGCCCCCCTCTGTATTGAATCTAAACATGAAAAGGGTCTAAATCGGTGCTGTGGGGACCCTCATAGGGCACCGACCAAAAGTGAGGTTTGTCCTTGATCCAGAGTTTTCCTCAGATGTTCCCCATCTTGCAAAACACTTTGTAAAGTCTTTAATTGACATATCTGTCATATTGCTTTAAAAATATGTTTTGCTCTAACAACCCTGCCGCTGTCCTTCTCTGACAGATATGCGAGAAAAAATGATATGCGTATTGATTTTCCCCTGTCTGTTCTTCAAGCCTTGCTGCAATTTGTTGAAATCATTATGCCATCTCTGCCTTTTGTGGCCTGGCCTTTATATTGGACACTAGTGCTCACTTTGGGCCAAAGCAGGCTCATGATGAGAGTTTATAACCACCATGAGCTCCAGTTCTCTTTATATCAAGCTAATTACTGAAGCAAGAACAGGAGCATTAACAATAATTGTCTCTGCATAGATGATATTAAAATGGAAATGTGTGCATTATCGTCATGCACGATCTTGAAAATTTCATCGTCTATTCAGTTTTATGACAATGCGAATAACATTAAAATGAACAGAATACACAATCGCTTGTGCAGTTGCAAATTCATGATCACCTGTTAAGAAATTTATGTAATGGCATGAATAAATTTCCCCCAACAAGCCAAGAACATTCTCTATCTCTCAGAGTCAATTTATCTATCTGTCTGTTTCTGTCTTGTGTAGGAGATCAGTGACACCGAAATCATGGAGCTGGCCCACAGTGCCTTGGGAAGGATGACAGTCATCCGGCAGATTTTTCCGTTGTGGAGAGACAGCAGTGTGAGCTGTATGAGGAACAGCCATCGCATCTCCTCCCTGCTCTGCGACCCCCAGGAGGGCTACTTGCAGTCACTAGAGGTCAGTTCCCATCGATGCGCTGTCACTTTGAGAATCCTCAGGGAGTCCCACAAGTGTCAGTCTTGGGGCCCATGTTGTTTCGTTAAATGTGAGCCTGCACAAGCCTCAGAGGCAACCAAATTCAATTATTGGCAGCCCTTAATAAAAAAAAAAACCACATTGTCAGGAGCACACTAATATTGGTTTGACATCTTGAGGCCAGAGGGTATACAGATGCGTAATCAGGCATTATAAAACCAGGTTTGCTGAAACAGACCTTGCTCAGTGAGGTGTGATCTGCAGTGATTCTTCTCATGCCAGAACCACAGCTCAAAACAACACTGCATATTTTAGTGAAGATGATGAAACTGAAGGCTGGAAATATATAGGTTTCAAAAACACATGATGAAACCTGAAGAATTTGCTGTTCCAAGACTAACTTATTTCAGAAAAGTATCTGCACAGTAATCTTAATACACTATATGGACAAAAGTATTGGGACACACTTCTTCATCATTGAATTCAGGAGTTTTATTTAGTCCCATTTTCCACTGGTGTATAAAATCAAGCACCAAGCCATGCAGTCTGCCTTTACAAACATTTGTGAAAGAATGGGTCCAACATCAGTGTCTGACCTCACAAATGCTCTTCTGGATGAATGTGTAAAAATTGCCACAGACACTTTCCAAAATCATATAGAAAGCTTCTCAGAAAAGTAAAAGCTGTTATAATTGCAAAGTGGGGACCAAATCTATATTAATGCCCATGGATTTAGAATGGGACATCATAAAAGCTCCCATAGGTGTAATGTGTAGGTGTCCCAATATTTTTTGTCCATATAGTGAATATTCCTATGTGTAAAAAGATAATGTCATTTATTAAAAAGACTGTAGTGATTGCTGCCCAGTAGGGAATCCTGAGGGACTTCTAGGCTCTCAGAGAAGTCCTAATGATTTCTGGGAACCCAAAAAAAAAAATGTAACTTTTAGTTAATTTTTTAGTAGAATCATAATGCTTGTTGTATTTGAATAAGTATTGCAGCAATACTCTTATTTCATTGATAAGTTTTGGTTGGGAACCAACGAGGTCTTGAAACATTTAAGCTAGCTCTTCCATTGGCTTGGGCAGGGGTGTCCAAACTTCAAAGAGGGCCAGATGGTACTGTGTCAAAATATGTGAGGGCTGAACTATTATTCACAAACTATTCAAAATATTATGTTTTCAAAACACCAGTGCATAGAAACTGAGCTACTGTGTTTCCTATCACTACATGAAAGATGCATAAGGCTTTTTTTTTGTTGGATCGTTCATTCAGAACAGTTTGGATTGAGAAGCGCTTATAAAAAATAATTAAATGGTTTAAGAGTAACAATACAACATGTCTGTTGTATTAATCATATTCTTATTCACATGTTAACGTGTTGAAAAATATACTTTGTGATACAAACTAAACAAAATTCTATACATTTCTGGTTTTGTTAGATAACGTTCTTTACATATCACATAAACACAGCTTAGCCACATTGTTGTTCAACCTTAAAGGGTTAATATTTACTGAACTACTGAATTTGCTCTGATAAGAAGTTTTCCATCACGCCAAGATTGCCAGTTCTGAGTGTTTAGTTTGAGCTTTATGTCTGTAGTCTTGACTAAATGAAGTTCAGTAAATGAAGCTACAGGTCTGATCAGCTGCCACCATCAGGTGAAAGGAAGAACTGCAACATACTGGCTACTGGCTGGCGGGCCGATTAAAAAAAACTGTAAAACAAAAGCCGGGGGCCAATTAAAATCCACATCTAGAATAGGTCTAAAATGTTATTATACACCAGTTTTTTGAGTGTGATTTTTGATCATCACTGTTGCTGCCAAATTCCATGATTGTCTTACATCAGAATTAGCAGTTAGAGCAGTTTTTCTACAATAATTGCACAATTTGCGTTGACTTCATCCCGTTTTTGGAAGCAACGACCCAAGCTTCTGCCTCTGGAAATTCCCTGAGCCAACCTGAACTCCCTCTTTCCATCATGGAGAACAGATGGTGGTGCTTCGCATCAACTCCTCCAGCATGATTGCTTTTCAATAATTCATGCAAAAGAGGGTTAAGCGCTCTCTGATGTTAGACCACCTTCAGGACAACAGAGCCTCTGGTTCACGGAGGTCGTGATGCTATCAGCATTTCATTGGCAAATTTGCAGCTTCAACAAAACAAGCTCCCTGAGGATGTTACCAAGCCTGCCATAGATCAACAGATTACCCTTGTTGATCTTTGTCGCTTTGCATTTTTTTTGCATTTGTCTCTTGCTGGTCAGAGGCAGAAAATGCCAAAGGCAAATTTCAACCTGGCCTACTTCTACTAATGTCAACAATATGGTGGACTGCAAGTTGTATCAGCAACCTGCCAAATACTATTCACCATCAACCACACAGTTCATCTCATGTTGTCATTGCTGGATAATGAGGACAACAACAATGTTTTATACATGAACTCAAAGAGTGACTGACAGGTAGCAGCGGAAAGGGCACTGTGTCAGGTAGCATTTGTCTGTTTTTTCTTTTTTTTTTCCACCCATTGAAAATAGTGCTTCGAATTGAGTCTGAGAACAATAGATTTAGTTTTCAGCCTTTCTGCCCCATCTCCCAATATCTCCAGAAAATGCTGCCTCAGCAGTGTCTTAGCCTACAAGTGCCAGCTGTCTATTTAACCCTACCGTAGGAGCTGCTTCTCCACTCCTGCTCTCAGCCATATAGAATAAAACCCACCCTTATTACCTCATCATGCATGTTCTCACTCAGATCAAGGTTAAGATCAGTGTACCATTCTGGTAAGCTCTGCTGCACTCTGAGATTTGCTTACGACTGAGGAATGAAGCTATTCCATTCCTAACCCAGTTTAATGTCCCACACTAATTAGTGAAAGGTACTAAAATCTTCTAACATGCAATTTAATCTGTAATCACAGCACTGCCATATATATCATGCTGTCACATTCTCTATAGTAATCCTCAGTCTGGACATTCTCAGGGTTTTATGAAGGGTTATTAATGGAGCCTTGAGGTTCTAGAAGCAGCCATTTATGGCCCTCAGATGGTTTTCTCTAGTTAACCGGTCGCACATTCAAATCTCATCGAGCTATTCATAAAATCGCCATCCACTTTATTAGAAACACCTACCTTGTACTTCCACTCAGTGGCCACTTTATTAGAAACACCTACCTTGTACTTCCACTCAGTGGCCGCTTTATTAGAAACACCTGTCTTCGACCTACATTGACTAGCCACTTTATTAGAAACCCCAGCCTTGTACATCTACTCACTGACCACTTTAATAGAAACGCCTACCTTGTACATCTACTCACTGACCACTTTAATAGAAACGCCTACCTTGTACATCTACTCACTGGCCACTTTATTGGAAACCACTTTCTTCTGTTTCCTCTTACCGACCAGTTTTATAGAATTTCTTCTATTCTTTGTATGTCCACTCACTAGCCACTTCATAAGGAACATCTACCTTGTACTTCCACACAGTGGCCACTTTATTAGAAACACCTTCCTTTGACTTCCCTTGACTAGCCACTTTATTAGAAACCTCAGCCCTTTAGGTCCTCTCACTGACCACTTTAACAGAAACATCTACCTTGTATGTCCACTCACTGGCCACTTTATTTGAAACCACTTTTTTGTGTTTCTTCTTACTGGCCATTTTAAAAGAAATTTTGAATAGAATTAGACGTAGAATTTGCAGATATAGAATTTTAATAGAATGTCCACTCACTGGCCACCTACCTGGTACTTTCACATACTGACTGGCCACTTTATTAGAAACATCTATCGTGTACTTCCACTAACTGGCCACTCTATGAGTTCTACCTATCCTGTCTGTGGCCATGTGCAAATATATCAGCTCCCCTCTACCCCATTCATCATAATTTCTAACCACTGGACCTCTGTTGTCCAGATATTATTCAGGTGGTGGTCCTTTCTCTGCAGAGCAGAGACACTAACATATGTTTGGTGCCTGTACAAATGTATGTTGATGTTGTGGTGCTGCTGATGTTTCTACACACATAAATGTCACCGCTAGGATTAGAGTGGCTCTGTTGTCAGAAACTGACCACTGATAGCTGTTACAAACTGTGCATGGCAAAAGATGACCTTCAGTCTCTAAGGTTGAATTTTATTATAATATTACTGGCTTTCTAGTTGTTCCATTGATGTTATAACACAAGCTTAAAACCTCCTTAACCTTCTTACGCTATTCATAACCACTCATAAAAAAAGGGTTCCCTTATAGGAGCACACTGAAGGATCTCAAAATAGTCCTAGGATATTTTTTTTTCTTCTTCTAACAGTGTGGGCTGTATGCGCACATGAGCCTAAGCAGAAATGAGGTACTGTCAGTGAACATGATGTGATGCATTAATGACACAATGCCACTGTAAGACGTCTCCCCGGACTGAACAGCCACAGCTGTCTGAGGCCTGCCTGCATGTCGGAGTGCATCCGAGCATCTTGCTGGATTTTATAGCGCTTGATTTATTTTGGCTCTAGACACACATCTGGTCTTGGGAGCTGTTATGTGTTGTGTCAGATTTTAGAGGAATGTGCTACTCATGTAGTGTTTGTGTGGATATTTATATGTGTGTGTGTGTGTGTGTGTGCGTTTGGGTCTCATTTGGGCCATTATTTAGAAGGCAGTATCCAGATTTGACATCAGTGCCGCCAGACAGCCATGTCCCTGCTTTTCAGACATCCACATACATCCTGTCCCCATAAAAGTATCACAACCTCAGGACTGTAAACCCAGTCAGAACGACACCCACACAGTAAAACAGTTCAAAACAAGACACATAAAGATAGTGGATGACACAAACACTGCCAAGGATGTTTTGTCTGGGTAGCTATATGTGGTCTTGTTTTGTTTTTTAGCAGTTTGCTGTGATTATTCCTGTATTATATATTTAGACAAACATCAGTGGTCACAGTTCTTTATCGGGGCATTATAACACATTTATATTGCTCTTATTAAGCGTTAACAAACCTGTGGGTAGATAACTGACTACTCATTATTACTTTACAACTACTCATTATCAGTACTCGTAGGGGTGACTTCAGCATTTTACATTGCACCTTTATTTGTGTATTTTACATCATAACCTTTATGCACAACATTTAAGGTGTGTATTATATTCCGTATTAAGCATTCTCAGGTCAATAACAATTAAGTGGTTGCATGTTATTACAAGCAGTGTGTATTAAGCATTTTACAAAGCACTTCTAGTTGTGTTGTACACATTATATAATCTTCTTCACATTATTTAAGTGCAAATTGCTGGTAACTAACGTATCAAGCCATTAACAGGTAATTAACCGGCTACTTTATTAAGCAATGACTAGAGTAAAGCATTTTTCAAACCCTATTCTTTTGTGTAGTATAAATCTTAATCTTATGCACAAAATTTTAGGTGTCTATTTAACTTATGAAGCCAATAACAACTAATTAACTAGCTGCCTATTACTACTTTATTAAGCAATAACTAGAGTAAAGCATTTTTCAAACCCTATTCTTTTGTGTAGTATAAATCATAATCTTATGCACAAAATTTTAGGTGTCCATTTAACTTATGAAGCCAATAACAACTAATTTACTAGCTGCCTATTACTACTTTATTAAGCAGTAACTAAAGTGAAGCAATTTCCAGAGCACTTTTATTTGTGCACTATATATCCTAATCATGATAACCTTTCACATTACTTTTACCTGAGCATTAAATCTACACAAAATGTGCTTAATAATGAACTATGTGATTGTAATGCTCTCAATTTTTAACAAGGCAGTAAAGGTAATTAACTGGCTGCTCATTACAACTTTATTAAGCAATAGAGTGAATTAGCACTTTCTTAAGTTTAAATGATGACCCCAAAGCGTGCGAGTGCTTTAAAATAGGGATCTGTTTGTTTTAAGAGGTAATTGCTGATTTACTACTGAGGTATTGACCTGATGGTCAAGGAATGGTTATGCAGAAGATTATGATGTATAATACACAAATAAAAGTGCTATAGATAATGCTTAATTTACGTTAGTTAATACTAAATAAAGCAATAATAAGCAGCCAGTTAACAACCAACTTCTGGACTGTTAAGGCTTACTAAAGGCATTACAAAGGATATTACATGTTCCATAAAGGTTCAGACAGGTATGTTTACCACTGTGTTACATCACCTTTCCTTTTAAAGGTGATCTATTATGCTCATTTTCAATGTTCATAATTTTATTTTTGGGATTTACTAGAATAGATTTACATGATTCAGTGTTCCATAAGAACATTATTTTTACTGTACATGTCTGTCTGAAAAGCTATGTTAGAGCTCAATGAGCCCAATGTGCCCTGATTGGTTGGCTCACTCACTCTGTTTTGATCGGTCAACTGCCAGAGCAGTTCTGCTCCTATGCGTTCTGCCCCAGTCTTGCAGTCTACAGACAGAACCTTCTCTCCTGAACAGCTGTAAACACTGCTGTGGTTCGGCTGCAACAGTTTAAGCCAGGGTCTGATCCTGAAAGTCAGGTCAGTGTCTTCTTCACACAGCTATAGAACCGAACAAACTCTTTTCGGCCTCCAGTAGTTGCTGTGGATTGTGTGAGGGCATGCCAAGCTTGCTGGCAGGCAGGCAATAAGGATTGTGTTATGAGATTGTGTCCTTTTGTAACAAATGAAAAGGGCTGGAATTCCAACAAGGTGTTTCAGGCAGCTGAAAAAAGTGGTTTCTGTGGGAGAGAGTTTCTCCTTCTGGCATGAACTTGAGCTTTGTAACTGTGCAGACCGTTTACAAGTAAAAATCTGTATAACACTGAAGAAAATCTGGAAAAGCAGAATAGGTCCCCTTTAACAAACTTCATAGTCCTTTGGGGACTGAAGACTTCAAATGATCCAGCTTTGAATGCAAAATGCTTTGCTATTTATGTGTTATTTTGTGCTTCATATCACTCCACATGTTTTCAGTAGGAGACAGTTCTGGACTGCAGAGAGGCCAGTCTAGCACCTGTGCTCCCTGTAATGTGTTGGCAGTGTCATGTTGAAATAATCATGGACCTCGCTGAAAAAGACGTCGTCTTGAAGGCAGTATATGTTGTTCCACAATGTGTATCTTTCAGTGTTAATGGTGGCTTCACAGTTGTGCAAGTTACCAGTTTATACACCCTCATACCATGACAAACCCTGACTTTTGAACTTACTTGACTAACCCTAACTTACACTTTTTTCTTGAACTCTTTTTCCACAATGTATTGTTTCCATAAACAGAACTGAAAGGCTGATTTATCAGACAACAATACACATTTTCACTATACATCAGTCTATTTAGGATAAGCTCAAATCCAGAGAAACTCTTTGAATCAAGGTTTGTAGCTTTTTCCACTGAATGTGATGTTTGCCAACCACCTGTGTTCCATTAATTTCAGGTGTCCAATTTGTACCTCTACGACAGTGTGCTGATGCTTGCCAACGCCTTCTACAGGAAGCTGGAGGACAGAAAGTGGCACAGCATGGCAAGTCTGAACTGTATACGGAAGTCAACCAAGCCCTGGAATGGAGGCTGGTCCATGCTAGAGACCATCCAGAAGGTACAGAAATCAGATATTTCCTCCCAGTGCCTGACCCTAGCCACCTGCCTTTTGTATTTGTCCTGAGCACAGATCAGACTAAATGATTCAGTGTAACATGCTACTGAATTTGCAGAATAAAAAAATACATAGCTTTAGCTTTAAATCAGGGACTCAGAAATGTGACTGTTCAAAATGCAAATAACAGCTTCGCCCCCAAAACCAGCACCTTATTTTTTTCCTGAATTCCTCCTACTACACCACCTGTGGCTGCACAAATTGCAGGAGAACCAAGAGCTGGTTATGTCCTCCCACATGCTTTTCTGACAGGGTCAGCCAAGGGCTCTCACACTGGCCCCAACTGCCCCATTTCTGCATCCTGAGGAGCTTTCTGAGCTTCCAGGGATAGCACACTGGCTTGTGTGTGCTCTTCAATTTCATGCCTCTTTCTTGTTCTGTGAGGCACAGAGAGCTGCAGAAAGCCTCTAATCTGTCCCTGGAGGTTCCTGGCATAGATAGATGGGTCTCAGAAACTTCAGCCTCTCCAGTCATTCTACTCACTGAAACAGTAGTGCTTAAATGGTGTTCAGCATGGTCATTGTCTGATGCTTGTAATGAGCTAATCATGACATAAGAGGTAGCCTCAAGCATCTAAACTGCCCTGTTCATTTCTCCTTTCTCTGTAGGGTCGTATTACCGGGCTCACTGGAGTTATGGATTTTATGGACAATGGATCCAACTCGCATGTTCAGTTCGAGATTTTGGGCACCAGCTTCAGCGAGACCTTCGGAAAAGACATAAAGCGGGTATGTTGAAATAAACAAGAAAAAGTACTAGCTGTCAAAAGTTAGGATCTCAGAACCTCTTAGATATGAATCTATGGAGGGCTGCGCAGTCCTAGGAGCAAACAGAAAACTATATTGAAAAAGAAGTAAAAGACTCCAGCTCGAATGCCTTTATGAACTCTTGCGCTGATATGTTTCACGTTTCATGAAGGCAACTGTTGTGCATGATGCTTTGCTAGTAGAGCTAAACTCAAAATGCATTAGAACTAAAGATTTTGTGAAGCCATTTCAGGTGCAGTGCCAAACTTTTTCAACACCTCATGCTGAACTTTCTACAAAAGCTGCAGAATTGTAGTCCTACATGCAAAAAGTATTACTGGCTAGCAGCTAATTAGCTGCTAAAAGAGTTCTAGTGATCAGTGGTGTAACTAGAACCTTAAATGTGCCTTACCATATAAAAAATTAGTTAGAATTACAAAAGCAAATTGCTTGTTTACTCGCTACTGTTGTGTCTCAAACAAGTTGATGCTCTCAAGGTATCCCACTCCACCCATTAGCATGTAACTTAAGCCTAAATGTTTACATTGGACTACTGTTTAAGATTTAAAAATGATACATAATTAATGTATCATGCTGTAGGCTGTGAAGGATCTATTTAAAAATGGTTACCATGGATGAAATACATTATAAGTAGCAGGGATGGGATCTTTCTGTAAATCACGGGGGGGTACAATCTATACAATCTCACCTTCTGTATGAGAGCCCCCAGTGCCATGGTCTCTAGTGGGGTTGCCCCCCTGCACTCACTCTAAGTAGTTACAATACTAATTGTGATGAGTGAGCATCAGGAGGTTTAAGGTCACCTGTCAGGACTGCCCTCTTTTCCCTGTTCTGTTGAAGATGAGGGGTGACAGTGCAGTGGGCCTCGTAGTCCAAGCCCAGTGCAAAGCAGCAAAGGCTGCACGACATGCAGATATCATGCTGTGTCAACAGTTCTTCCTGAGAGGACAGCAGTGCCTGTCCACTCTTTGCAGAGCTCATGCAGAGACATGCAGCACGCTAGGCTGAACACGCCCTGTAAACCTGCCACCAGTTTCTGACCAGAAAGTCCTCCCACCAGGGATTTTGAAGCACATTTGTCCACAGCTGTGGCAGAATTAGTGTTTAGAGTAGGTGGCCCAGGTACAAGTTGCACTCAGAGCTGGTCGTGCTCTGTGAAACAAAGTTAAGAGTGATTTTTGTGTAGTTACCAGGCAAGCAGGGTGGCTAAGCCCAATGAGAGGCACCTTCCATAAATCTCAATCTGTTCCTTCATAATCCCTTTTTCTTCTCTTTTCTTGGACACTTTTTTGTCTGTGTTTTTGTTTTTGTTTCCACCAAGGATTTGGGTCCCATCTATCATTTAAAATAAAGAGTAATGTAAATTACAGAAGAGCGAACTGAAGCAGTCCACTGGTAATGAAGATTTAATCACCCAGCATCCCAACTTGAATTATGAACCCAGCGTATCGCATTATGGCCATTAGGATCCTGAGAGCTATGGCCATTTAGCTCACATGCACACAGACACACTCTCTCCCACAGGGGCACCGGCGTCCCCTCATACGCCCGGCACATTTATTAGCCGTAATGAAAGGCAAAGACAGCTAATGGCACGTCAAGTGCACTCAGCCTCGTTGTTGTTCATTATTAGAGCCCCAGCCTTACTGGCCTAGCCAGCGCCTCCCAACAAGACATTAATCCAGCCAACTCCATCCCTGCTCGCTATGGAGACAAATGAGTACTGCTGCTGTTTATTTGACATATGTCATGGTTCTAAAGCGCAGACACATTCACTACATCTCCTAGCTAAATTAGAAGCCTTTCAGAGGCTAAAGGAAAGCCGGAAACTTCTGCCTGGCCGCGAACAGATATCCTCAGTCGCTCGGGCCGTCTGTCTTGATGTGTTATCCTCTCTTGTCTTATCTCAATCTCCAATCTCTCCAACTTACTTGCGGAGGCCCTTCTTCCTGCCCTCGCACTTTCTCTGAGTACCGCTCCCCAGCAGATAGAACGGCTCGCAGATTAAACTTAATGGAGATTGAGGTGTTATTTTCTCATCCCTGTTCTCGTCCTAGCCAGACTGACTTTTTTTTTTTTAAATGTATGCATTTACCAGTCTGGGTAGCCTTGATTTTCAGGAGGCAATATTGCCTGTAGAAAGTCACTGCTATGGAATCAAGTCTCCCAATTTGGAACCTACATCAGATCTGCACAGAGATGTAATGAGGTGCGAGTTATGTGTCTTGTTGCTTTACACATGCTAAACCCAGAACCCCAGCAGTAAACTGTAACAAAAGTAAGTGGGCTTTGTCATGTAAACTACACCTGGGATACTCTACATGAACATAACCAATCAGATGGGATCTTTGTAATATACCATAACCAAACAGAAAGGTTCTCTGATGTAAACTGCACCTAATAAGAAGGACTCTCTTCAGTGAACTTTACCCAATCAGACGGATGTAAACTATACCCATTGAAAGGGATCTCTGATTTAAATTACACAAAGTATACAAGGAGCTCTGTGATGTAAAGTGTACCCAATCAAATGGGTCTTTGATGTAAACTGTTCACAATCAGACAAGCTGTCAGCAGCAATTTGCACCCAATCAGACGGGCTCTCTACTGTAAACTACACGCAATCAAACGGTTCTACAAAACTGCTTTAAATCAGATAGGCTTTCTGCAGTAAACTGTAGTGTTGTAGTCAAGGCCACTAGATCCAAGTCAAGACTGAGAAAGGGACACATCGAGTCCGAGTCATGACTTTTAGTAATTGACTTTGAGTCAAGACCGAGACCAGGACTGCCGAAACCAAGACAATACCGAGACGAGATTAAGATTTTTTCTTCAGAAAAAAAAAGAAATTTGTTTGTAGTTAAATGTATATTATATATTATATTATATATATAACATGTCATATGAGCTTAATATTACTTAATATGTCATATGAAACTTTCAGTTTCGCTTGTCTTCCTGCTCACGCTGCTTCTGTCTGTGTCCTAGCAACGTGTCTGCGCAGGTGTATCAGCGATGCAGTGTGAAGAGTGGCACACAGCAGAGAATTTAGTACACAGGACTGTCTTGTCCTGTTTATTCCTGTATAGTTCTGTTGATATTGAATAATAGTTCAGCTTCTAGTTACCTCAGATGGAGGCATCAGACTTGACAAAAATATCAGTCCACCTTATCCGACCGAGTCTCAAAGAGGTCGAGACCAAGACTGCTCATTTATGGTCTCAAGACCAAGACTGAACTCAAATACTACAACACTTGTAAACTGTACCCAGTCAGATGGGCTCTCTGCAGTACATCTTGACCAACTAGATGGGCTCACTACAAAACTACCAAATCAGACAAGTTTCCTAAACTACATCAAAATTATGTACCTCTACAAGATTGTACTTAATCAGATGGGCTCTCTACATTGAACTGTGCTCAATCAAATGGGTTCTACAGAAAGCTGCAGCAAATAAGAAGGGGTTTCTCTTTTGAAATGTACCTATTCAGATGAGTAAACAGTACCCAATAAGACATGAGCTCCTCTGTAAATTGTACACAAGTCCCTCCCTAATGAACTGTACCCTATCACATGGGTTCTACAGGGAGATTCACTCGAAAGAGGCCCAGAATATTCTGTTGTAAATCCCTTTAGGATGAAGCAATCTGAACCAAAAAAATACGGTACATACCTTGACGTATGTGTGATCGACTGCATTACATGCGATGCTGGAAGTGATCTCCGTTTTCTATCAGGCACATTTCGACATGGCGCTCCATATTCCTGAATGTATCGGGAAGCATATCGGGGGGAATAGCAGCAGTTTCACGTTGGATGTTTTCCTTCAAATCTTCCACAGTGTGAGGCTTGTTCCGATAGACTTTTCCTTTGAGCATACCCCACAGGAAGAAGATCCGGTGACCGTGGTCTCCAAAGCCCCTTTGAAATTACCCTGTTGCCGAAGAAGGACTCAATTTCTGCTATGCTCCTTTCATACTGTATACTGTACACCACCATCCCGATGAGAAGTCGAGTGACTGAGTGAAGGGGTATTGGGGGCATGCTCTAGGAAGTTGTAAACGGGGGTTAAACATCAAAATGGCTGTCCGGCGCCTACCTCATCGCTCCAACACAGGGGCATTCCAGCATGTTTGAAGCTCCATATACTGAGGAGCACATTGCATGTTGTTTATTCAGATTGCTTCGTCATAGCCAGAGTTATTACAGAATATTCGCGGCCACTTTTGAGTTAATCTCCCTGTACAAACCTGCACCAAGTCAGATGGGCTTCCTGCCATTAATGTTACCCAGTCATGCAGGCTTTTGTCTGTTAACTATACCCAATCAGGTTGGCTCATTGCTGTAAACTATTTCCATTTAGACAGCTCTACAAAACTGTACCAATACATATGAGCCCTCTGCAGCCAACTATACCCAATCATTTGGGATCTCAGCATTGCACTGTATGCAATCTCTGCAGTGAGACAGTCAAACTGACTGTCTGTTGTAAACTCTACCCATCTAGACAGGCTGTTTTTTGGATGAACTGTACCAAATCAGACAGGCTTTCTGCCATAAGCTGTGCCCAATCAGACAGCCTCCCTGCAATGAATTGATAAGATCAGCAAGCTGCACTAAAACTGACAGGCTTTTTGATGTAGACTATAACCTATCAGACAGGCTCTCTGGCCCTGTTCATAAGATCCATCTCGATTGATCTGATCTCAAGTGGACAGCGAGATGTAAAGCTGTTTACACTTGACGCTTCTGTGTGTCTCAGATGTACCTCAAGTGACCTCTTACGATTGGATTTTGTGACCGGAGGAAGGGAGTCCTTGGTCCGGCGCATGTACAAGCTTAGATGAAAGATGATGATGCAGTTCATTGCATTACTTTGTTTCTCTTGGGGACTTTTCAGGACTCTTTAGCATTTACACCACAAATGTTACATGGTCAAATGCATCCCTAACTACGTCCA